TCAAGAAGCCTACTGTGAATCAGCTTATTCTTGCTTTTTCTTCTTCCTAAAAGCAAAAGTGATCTAGAAATATCTGTCTTTCAAGCTAAGCGAAACTCTTTTCTTGTTTGTTGTAATATAGATTTTGTTACCTAGGAATGGATGGTTGTATCCTTTAAGGCTTGTTTTGTATGGAAGAGTTTTTGTGATTTTTTCAAGAAAATTAACAAAAAAGGAATTTTTTTGAAAAAATGTGGATCAGCGGAAAGAGTTTTTAGTAAATAGTAAACCTATAGTATATTAATAAATAAAATTAAATTAAATAATCAAAAAATAGAAATATTAAATTAAAAATCCTTATTATTATTTTTGAAACTTGATTTTTTTTTTAATTTTTTATTAGATTAATTATATTTACTTTATTAAATATAATGTAGACTATACTAGTTATAATATTGTTAAAGTTAAATTGCTAATTAATTTAATTGTTTTGATTCGTTTTTAAATTCTAAGTATAATGTTGAAAATAATTTATCACTCTGTTTATAGTTTAAATTAATATTTTCTTATTATAAATATTATTATTTATATATTACTACTGTAAAATACTTTTGAGACTTGATATAAAAAAAGTTTAAAATAAATATATTATATATAGAATACTTTATTTAAAAACTCAAAAAAAAATTATTTTTAATTAAATAATAAATAATAACCTATATATATAGTTATATTTAAAATTGAATAATTAAATATATATAAAGATAACAAATATTTGATTTATAAAAGTCAAAAAAATAAAATAAAACATTTATAAATTAATTTTATTTCAAAAAAAAAATCAAAATAATTTAAAAAAAAAAAATTTGATAAGATTATTTAAGAATATAAAAAGATTAAATAATAATAATAATAATAAAGAGAAAAATTTTCAAATTAAAAATTTTTTAAGATATAAACAATAAATTTAATAAAATAAAACATAAAAATAAATCAAAATATTTTTAATTTCTATATGATATTTTTAAATTAATAATCAATAATAAAAAATAAAAAAATTTTTTTTTTACTAATCCTTTGATCATATATAAAAAAGATGTTTGTAAGAAGTTTTTTTTGCTTCTTTGTTAAAAAAGTCTTAAACACTTTTCTTAAAATCCCTTGAAGAATGACTTCAAGAGACACCCTATTCTTTCTTACTTATTTATAATTCTCTTTAATCAAAAACTTGATTTCTGATGATCAAGAATAAATCAAGTAACATCTTTGTTATTAATGGTAAGAAAGTTTTCAAAAGAAAAAGAATCAATAGTAAAGTATTCAAAGATCTTTTTCACCTTTAAGGTAGAAGATGTATAAAGGTTTTTGATAGTAAAAAGGCTTATTTATTCTCCTTCTAGTTACTTGCTGACCTCTTAGAATTATCAATTTCATGGTTTTCTAGAAATTTTATCTATTTCAGTTTGACTTTAAATTTTGAATAGTACAAATTCTCACTAATGATAATTGATTGATATGAAATACATTGGTTTTAAAAAAAGTAAACAAACTCTTATTGATAAAGATGGATTTCTAAAGAGGGAGGCAAGGATAAAAGTCAAATGTTCTTCACTAAAAAACATTAAAATTTTTAAATTAATAACTATAAAAAAATTATTCATATTTGTTCATTATTATTTAAATCATTAATTTATAGTATTTCCTGACTTTTGTTCCTATTAAAGTAAAGATCTATAAATTTTGTCCTTCAAAAAGAGACATAAGTGATCTGTAAAATTTTATATATTAAATACTTTAGGAATCTATCATTCCCTATTGATCATATTCATGTATTTATATTATATCATAGATGATATAAAAAAAATTTTTTTAAAAAAAGTTTCTTTCTAACTGCATATGTTCAATTTTCAGAAAACAATTATGATACCAAAAGATGAAATAAATTCATACAAAGAGATTTTATCTCTTTTCTAAGTTTTTCAGGTTGTAAAAAGATTTCTTAAGGTAGAAGCTAAGATTTTTTAATTTCTTTTGAACTATTTCAATCTGATATATGCTTAAATAAAAACTCATCTAATGATACAGGTAATAATGGGTCCTTAAAATATTTAGTATATAAAATTTTATAGATCACTTATATCCCTTTTTGAAAAACAAAATTCATAGATCTTCACTTTATTAGAGACAAAAATCAAAAAATACTATAAATCAATAATTTGGATAATGGAAAACAATTATGAATAGTTTTTTTATAGTTATTAATTTAAAAATTTTAATATTTTCTTGTGTAGAACATTTAACTTTTATCTCTGTTTCTCCTTTTAGGGTTTCATCTTTAATCACAGATGATGACAAAGAAAATTCTTTCTGAGGTTCAAATAAAGTAAAGAAGAATAACTCAATTAGGCAAAATCTCTTTTGAGAAAAGGTTATGAAATAGAATATAAACTTTTGAAGGGTCTTAAGTTGTTTTTCTTTTCTCTTTCCTAGTATCAATTTTACCAATTTATCATTTTTCAAAATAATCAATAGTGACAAACAGTTGGCAATAATTCTAATTAACTTAAAGGTACTATATCAAGTTACTAGAAAAGCATAATATTGTTTTTTAAATCTGATTTAAAGAATTTAGTTAAAACTTGGTTTTATTTAATCTGAACTAATTTAGTAACTATCTTATATTTTTTAAGTAATGTAATTCTTCAATTAATAATATATAAAGATAAATTAATTATTATATAAGAAGGTTTACAGATTATTTAATATTTTTTCAAATATCTTAATAAAGACAAGTCATTTTAATATAATTGTAAATTAAAAAATTATAAATTATAATAAAAAATATAAATCCTAAATATTAAAAAAAATTGAATAAAAAATTAATAATATATTAATAAAATACAAAAAAAAACCTTAAATTATTTTATAAAATAAATATAAAATTCAAAATATTGAAAACTAATTATTTGAATAGTTGTGAGTCAGTAGTACAATGATAGTACTTCTAAGTTGCAATCACAAGATCTATAATTCAATACTACTTAAGGACAAAAAATTAAAAAACATCTTTTAATCAGGTTTTACTAGTTATCCTGTAAAAGTCATACTCAATTATCTGAAACAAGATTAAAATCAAATTAGGCTATAGGAAAATAGAACTTCTGACTTTTCATTAATCAGAGATTAAGATTTATAATCAAACTATTGAAAGAATTATATAAAAAAAGGTTTTTGATTTAATTGTTAATAAATATTTCAAGACTTATCTATCCTGATAATCTTCAAGACCTCTTTATTTTAATAATCTTCAAGACTAAAGATGGATTCCTAAAGAGAGAGACAAAGACAAAAGTCAAGTATTCTTTATTAGGAAACATTAAAATTTTTAAATTAATAATAATAAAAAAATTATTTACAATTGTTTTCTATTATTTAAATCATTGATTTATAATATTTCCAGACTGTTATTCTTATTAAAGTAAAGAGTTATGAATTTTGTTCTTCAAAAAGAAATATACAGTAAATAATCTGTGAAATTTTATATGTTAAATGTTTTAAGGACCTATTATTATTTAGGGCCTCTACTCTTCTAGCTCAAGATATTTTAATCTGATGTTTCACTTAAATAAAAATCAATTATTAAAAACTGATTTAATGTCATAGGTAGTAATAAAAAAATTAACATGTCCCCTTCGGAAATCTAAGCAAACAATATCTGAAAATATTGAAGGATATTATATATTCTATTAGATATATATAAGAAAAGATTAGCTTAGTAAAATAATAAATGATAATTTGTAAGCTCTATATTAACTAATCTAATCTTACTATTAAGGATTATATATTAACTATTTGATTTCTAGTTAGGTCTATTTAATCTAAAAGTGATAATAGGTCTACCTAAAATAAATTATAAGAAATTACTATTAATCTGCAAGTAATAATGAGTTCCTAAAGTATTTAGCTATAAAATTTATAGATTACTTATGTCTTTTTTTGAAAAATAAAATTCATAACTTTTTATTTTAATAGAAACAAAAGTTAAGAAATATTATAAATCAATGATTTGGATAATGAATAACAATTTTTATAGTTTTTAATTTAAAAATTTAATGTTTCCTAGTAAAGGACATTTGACTTTTGTCCCTACTTCTTCCTTTAAAAACCTATCTTTATTTGCAAGTATATAAAAATATATAAATTATACAAAATGATTGATATAATATTAGTGAATGTTATTGTTCAACAAATTGCTTGCATCTAATACAGTTGTGATTTAAATAAAAAAAATTTTTTAAAAAAGAAAACTAATTATTTGAGAAAAATCCAAAATTTAAAAATCCATAAATAAAAAAATCAAATAAAAAACTTTGTAAACAATGAGATCTATAGTTTGAAAGGGCATTTGATTAATCAGCAATACTTATTGCTGATTGGCTGGCCATTACTTAAAAGAAGTATGAACAAATAAAAAAACAATTCTTCACAATACTCCAGACTAATAATAATAATAATACTATAGACATATACTGTATTGTATACTGTATTTACAATCGCATGTCAAATTCCACGTGCATAGAAAATTACTATTTCTAAACCTAGATTTCTCGGATAAAATGGAACCAGATTCGCTAATTAGAAAACCATAGCCATGACATCATGGTTCTCATAAACTTATTTGTTTGTTACCACGAGATTGATCCGATTGCATGGCTGAAAGATTCACGTGATAAAAATGGTTAAATACATAATTGTAGATGAAGAAATAGAATTAAAAGTAATTTATATACCCATCGGATTAGAGCCTACACCTTCAAGAGCACTAGAACCTTTTTGGTCAGCACGAGCAGTCTTACCATCGAATTTCTTTCCAGTAGGATTGGTGCCAACGCCCTCCAGCGCTGTAGAACCTTTGATGGGTACGTAGGCGGTGTTTTGGTCTATCTCTTCGAGAGACGTCGTCGTTTTGTTATTGGTATTTGAAGACATTTTGAAAATTTATAATTCGTATGGAGGAAATTCAAGGCTTCTTATATACCTTTCTTCGACATCAAAGATGATTTCATAATTATGTCATTACAAAAAATTGCATAGTGTAATTACGTCACTTGGTTAATATAATTCACGTGTCCAAACTTTCCAGTGGGAAAAAAAAAAAGAAAGGATCACCCAACATGCACGCGCGTACTCTGCCATTATCCGTGATGTCGAAGGGCGTGAAACCATATTTAGTTCCTTTAAAACCAGATCGTATACTTTTGAACCCAAAATTCGAAGGATATAAGCTAAAACTTTTTGAAGATCGAACTCAACTATGTCGTTTTCTTTTACCTTCACCTGGAATTTCGACGTCAAAGGTTTCAACAAAGTCGAAATTATCGTACAAGGAAATTCAGAATCGCATTCATTTTAACCATCTATTCTCCGGTTACGAAACAAATGATGGTAAAAAAGTTTGTTTTTATTTCGACAGGGAACTTTCTATTTCCATGATAGAATACGATCCGGTATTAACTATGTAACTGTATATGTATGGAAGTTTCAAGTGGTTTTCAGCGTTATTAATAGAATGTTGTATGAACCTTAGATAACGAGTTCAATAGCAACACATTCCCTTCTAAAGATTCCGAAATCATTGGATGATGATACAACAGCCGAGCATCCTTCATTAAAGGCTCTTTCGTCAACATTATTGCTCGCAACAAATGGCCTGGGTACAATGCTTCTCGTCAGAATTGCGAAGAGCGAGTCTAATGAATACCAAGGAGAAGTCGTTTATTGCACGGAATTTAAAATTCAGCCTAGTGTTAAACGTACACCTTGCGTCATTATTGATGCCAAAGTTGTAGGAGAGGCTATTCTGTTTTTAGTTTACAATACAACCAAGGCTCAAGAGGTTTCAACCACGCAAAAATCATCAAGGGATGGATTCAAGAAAACTACGTTTGATGTCACTTTAATGCAAATGTCCGTGATGCCCCCACATGACCTGCAAGTGATTCACGTTGTTCGTGGAGAAGAAATTCCTCTCTATTGTAGCATTGAATCAAGTGGTGATGGCTATGTGATCGGTGGTAGAGTTGATTACGAGGTGGTTTGCGAAGCTTCTACGAAGGAAGGGGTTGATCAAATGGACATTGACCAATCAACAGACGTAGAAAAAATTGACATGCAAAGAAGGCCTTGTTAAACGGTCACCTTACGTGTGGACACAAACATCTGCAGACATTACGTTATGTTTCCAACTTCCACCGGGCACTCCTAAGACAGATGTTCGTTGCAATTTCTCAAAGACGCATTTGTCACTTACCATTAATCTTGAAGACAGCTCGAACAAAGAACAACCTTTGCCACGATACGCTTTCACACAGTTGTTTGATTTAATTGACCCAGACGCATCTCTCTGGACGATTGAACCAAACATAGGTTTATTGACATTACACATTGAAAAGGGTCATCAAGGCACTCGCTGGTCACATGTTTTTCAGAATGATGATGGAGTTCACGAAACTCTTGATCCTAATGAATTTGCTGAATTTCGTGAACGCCTGGAAAAATATACCGGAGATCTATTAGATGATGATAACGATTCGAGTGATTTTCCTGGCAGAAAAAGTTTGCTTCAGCATCCCATCGGTTACGAGATGGAAGAATCCATTGATTACGAGGGGTCTGAATTCACCCTTGTTCGGATGAGTATTGAGGGAAAAATCACTGCAAAAACTTCAGGAGGGCACGAGTTTCTCTGTAGACAATTTGAAAGTTGTGATATAAACAATTCAACACCATTCATGCCATCCGTATGTCTGAAGTACGATGTGGACGGTCTTGTTTACTCCGTTGGCCATCCGAATGATTATAAAACCCATGATGTGTCACCTTTTACGATGACACATGTTGCGACGTTCAATGCTTTTGCTTTCGTTCAAGCGTCGAAGCGTGAAAAGCGTTACATGTTCCACGATCCATTAAACCGTTTCGTGATGATTTTTGATGAGAGTCACCACGCTTTTGTATACTGGCATCATGCTAACCGTGAAAAAAATGATGAACAATTCGTTATAGATTTTGCTGACAATAAAAATAATGATATCGATATAGTTGGCGTTCAAATGGTGGATTCCAATGGTGCCGTCATATTAGTTCTCATTCCTGACTCTGTGATCATGATGAAATTACTGTAATGTATTTCTCAATTTCATTATTAAAGATGAAAATGATTGACATGTGGAAAATATAAGCTTTACATTCGTTAAAAAGAAAAATAAAATTCTACAATTTCATTTTAAAATTGAAGATTAAAAATATATATCTATATATTACGAAATTCAACTTGCTGTAGGAGTCGTTTTCTGGCTATCTTCTACGATGCCCAGCCTTGAGACATTACTTTTTGCGGCGGAATCCGTGTACTTACGCGCTGCCGCCTCCTCTTCTCTCCTTTTTTTTATCTGCCGTAATTCTTCGGCTTTGATTGCTTTCGCGCGAGCTTTCTTTTGTTTTTTTTTTTTTAAATGGAAACACGCATGATCAAATTAAGATTGAATCTTTCGCTCGGATCTTAAAAATACCATTGGCAATACCTCTTTTTTGTGATGCAAGCATTCAAGATAATCTTCTAATTGTAAAGTGCACTCTCGGGGGCTATCCGCCATTGCGTAACATTTCCGAAATTCCTGCCAAAAAACAAAACATCTTCCGCGACCGCCCGATAATCCGTAGCCAGATGCCACTTTGTTTTTTGATTACAATAACCCTTTAGTATCAAACCATAACAGAAAAACCTAATGCATGAATCTTTGTTAACCTCGTATACGAACTTGCGAAGATGGTCGTAATGGTAGAAATTGATCGACGGATCTGTAAACGTTACAAACGTTTCGTATATGAATAAATGACGTCATGATATATTTTTAATCCGCAGTCAGGTTGTTAAGAATATTTTCTTATGGAAATAGTTTGTCAATAAGTTATCAAGAATTGTTAAAATTGAATTATATTAGGAAAAGAAGAGTAAACTTAAATATTACAATTAATCTTATCACGTGATATATGTCTTATTATTATTTTATTTTTAAAGAATAATTTATTTAAAGATATAAAAAATTTTTATGAATTAAAAAAAAAATTTTTTTAACCTGCTATCAGGTTAACATGGCTTGTCTTTATTGTGAATTAATAATAATAATTACAAATTAAATGACTTTTACATATTAGTATATCTGTCATTGATTTTTTTTTTTTTTTTACAATCAGGTGACTTGTTTTTTTTATATAAATATATGATAACTATAAATTATTTAACTTTCATATACTGACTTACCCATCATCAAAAATTATTTCTCCAGATGCAACTTAGAAAATAATATTTCTTTCCTTTGTTAATTTGGAATACTTCTTAATTAGCAAAATTATTATCTATAAGTTATTACTATAGATTATTCTAAATTCTATTTACAATTAAAAACAAAATCATTTTATTTTATAACAAATCCAGTCCTTAATAATTTCTATATAATTCTTTTCTTCTTTTTTTCTATTTCTTCTTGACCTGAATTTTCAGTTAGAGACAATATAAGTTTTTCTTGATCTTATATAGTCTGTCTAATAAGCTTGCATCTGAATCTTTTGTATTTTTTTTTTTTCTAGTAATATTCAATTCTTTCTCTCATTCTATTACTTTGGTATATTAGATATTTCAGATTTTTTTCTTAAAATTTTTTACATTTTTTAACAAAGTTTGCTGATTATGATCTGTGTTGATATAAAAAGATTTTAAATTATTTTTTAAGATAATTTTTTAAGAAGATGATCTTGTTTTCTTCTATATATTTGCAAATAATATTGAAGAAACTTTTATCAAATTGTTGTATCCTATTTAACTAGTTTTCTATCCAGTTACTGATTATAGATTAAACTTTCTTCTTATTCTTTATTTCTTTAACAATATAATAAATATGCTTTTCATTTGCCATTTTCCATATGTTTTTTCTAGCTTTTATAGTAACTAAATATTTAAAAAGATGTTCTAATTTTTTTTTTTTTGAAACTTATACTATATATTGAATAAATAGTTATAATATAAATATTAGATTTTCTTTTTTTAAGTATCTATAATCTGAAAATTTATTATAAGTTAACTTAATTAAAAAACTTTTATTTTTATTGATTTTAAATAAGATATAGAAGGTATTGAATGAATTAAATGGATTTCAAAAGATTGTCTAGTCTATATTATCCTCTTGTTGAATCCAAAGATCTTGAATTCTTTTCTGTAAGATCCAATCTAACTCAATTCTTTTCCTATTAAAAGTTTTAATAAAGTCTCTAATATTAATATCTATTATATATTCTTTTAATATAGTTATTGCTAGAACTTTTTCTAGTTTTGAAAATTAATGCTATATTATTGAATTCTTCTACTTTGCCTGCTTCACTAGGAGATTTATATAATTGTTGTACTTATTATTACTATATGTTTTGAGCTTTATAATATTCAAGATAAGATCTTTCTTTATTACTAGATCCTTGATTCTATTTCATAGTAACCAGTTAATATTTTTAGTTTATATTCTAACTGATATATCTACTTGTGAATATATAGACTTTTATATCTTGACTATTGTATTATAATCTGTATTAATTAAAACTATTGCACTTTAAAGAACTATATATAATGTAGTAAGAATAGCTAGTATCTTTGTTCTTATTGCTAATGACCATATTGATATTCCTGTTGAGAATTGTTTGATTATTCTATTATTTTCTAATAGGATTTATACAAAGCCTATCTCTAGTTTATTATCTTTAGCCTATTTTTTGAAAAAACTATTTGTATAAAAAATAAAGTAATTGTTTACTTGCATTTTATTATATTTTAGGATATTTATAAACTTCTCTTTATATTTCTCTGATTAAATAGCTTGATTTATTAAAATAACTTTCCAACTTTTCACTTGAACTTCTATTTCCATAGATCTGATAATAAATATAGGTTCTACTTATTAATATATAGATGTCCACCAATCTATAGAATTGTCTGAAAAAAGAATCTATTTTTTTTTTCTTAGACTTTTTTATCTATTTAGTTGTAAAAGAAAACAAATTTGAAAAAGAGATTTATCAACTAGTTGAATTGTTATTTTTGGATGTAGTGAAAAATAGTTGCTAATAAAGTTATATAAAAGTTGATATAGCATAAAATAGATTTTGCTATTTAAGAATATGATTTTTCTTAATATATCAGTTGAGATAGTAAAATATGTTGTCAAATATGATTTTATTTTATTAAAATTTATTAGTGCTGTTTTTGTTTGCAAATTATAGCTTGTCCAGTTCATATTTCATAATAATTTCTGTAGCAGATCCTGGTTTTCTGTTATTTTTTTTAGGATATTCTTGTACTAGGAAGTAATTAATCTTTTATGTTTATCAAAGAAGATTTGAATTATTCTTCAATCTCTAAGTATTATTGTGATAGTATTTATAAGTTGATCCAAGAACATAATTTTGTGTTTTTATAAAGATGGAATAGCTTTTTCATATTATTTGTTATTTTATAGAATAGATTTAATAGACAGTATATCTCTCCAATAGCTGAATATATTCTTTCATTTCTAGCTTTATAATATAATTTGTAGTTTTTTGATAAAAGCCAGTATTGCTGTTGTGAAGTTTTTCTTGATCAAACTATCTGATATATGGATTCTCTAAAATATAATCTGATTCTTAGTATTTAATCTAACTTTATTTTAGATGAATTATAGTATCAATTTCAGAAGTATTATTGTTTTTTTTTTTAACCCTCTGTCAGGTTAGTTAAATGTGCTTTATTAAACATTTGTAAGCTGTACATATTAAATAAAATGCTAAAACTAAATCTTTAACTAACTCACTCATTTTGATTGTATTACCTCTCTAAATGCAACTTCGGGAGTGATTTATCGCTCCATTAGAGGTTCAAGTGAAGATCCTTTCAACTTCTAATATCATTGTCCACAGTTCACCACTGCATATCACTCTTTTGAGCTCTGACAAAGATCAAATCCCCAACCACTTCATAC